AGAGGAATAGTCTATCTTATTGAAGTCATGTTCTTTTAATTTTATTATGACTTCTGTGATTAATTTGATATCTTTTCTAACAAAAGACAATTTCTATTCTATATCAGATTGGGTGATTACAACTCCTTTTTGTAAGATACATGATTCTAATTGGCTTTGATTGACATTTACTGAAAGATATCCAATGATGTCTTAAACTTTTTCCTTTCTTAATTTTTCTATAATGACACCAACAATTTGCTCATCTACATCTTTTATTTGACCAAAGATGTCAGTTAGAGCTTCCTTCTCTAAAAAAGAGCCTTGCATTTTCTTTTGTATTTTTAATAATGAATTTCTATTACTCTAACTTTAATTTATATACTGCAAAATTGATAAAAGCATCTTGTGTATTTCTGTAAAATAGAAGTTAGGACTTTGTGTAGATTTGGAATTGATTGGAGTAGATGTTAATTATGCTATTGATAATTCATTTCAATATCTGCATTACTTGATTTTTAGTAATATAGAATATAAATATTTCATATGAATATTTTAATTTATACAACAATTGAGTTCAATTTTTGATAGATTCATTCCTCTTGTTTATGATCTTTTCATAATTAATGATTTGATTTTCTTTTTTATATATATTTAGTTAGTTTTCTCGATTTCTTATTCAAAAAATCTAATTTTGGAGGGGCTTTATTTATAAATAAATTAAATCATTTTAACATATTTCATTATGAATTATAACCATACAAATCATTGTTTCCTTTTTTTCTTTCTTCAATTTGCTTCAATAGACTTGCTTTTGAATTATTTAATATAAATTTTTGGAAATTTCTTAATAAATTAATTTAAATTTAACTAGTTGATGAGTTCATCAAAAAGTAGGGCTGTTTTTAATATAATGAAGTAATGAGATACATTTTTTTTAGATTTAATTAAATAATGTTAAAGTTAACAACTATTATATAGTTCTGACTCTTTAAAAAGCTGTGTACATTGAGTAATACTGTTTATTATTTGATGAATGTAAAATTTCACGTTGAACTCAAGTTAATCAATAATTAAGATTC